GTGCCTACTGGGTGGACTCGCAGCAGAAGCGGGTAAGGAGCGCGGGGCGGGGAGCGGAGCGCCCGCTGCCCATTGGGTCACCTGTCCTGCGGGCCCCGTCTGCCACCAATGGGGGCGGATGAGCCGCGGGGCGGGGCCTCCTCGCTGCTGCAGCCGGGATGGGCCGGGCCTGGCCGGGGCTGCGTTAGGGTCGCGGGCGCCAGGGGCCGGGAGAGTCCCGGGGTCCTTCCCGCGAGTTGTTGTACAGGCCCGCCGGGCTCCAGGCTGGAGGTTGTGAACAGTTACACGATTAATCGTTTGCCCCATCAGTGACAACCGCCTCTAGCTCCCGGGTAGCGTTTAGCAGGGGGAGCCCTGTTGTGGCCCAACTAGCCTTGCCAGGTGTACGATAATTATCGTATTTGTACAACAATGTCAACCCTTGTAGGATGTACAATCAATAACAGTAAAAGCATTCAAAACATAGGACAATTTTTCAGGCAGCTAATTGATACAGCATATGCAAAACCCAAGTCACCCTCTGGGAGTCTTCACTGACTTGTGGACTTACTTCAGCACTTTCTGATGTCTACTTCCCTCAAAGTAAAAAAAGTGTTTCACCTTTGACCCAGTTCTCTCTCGCTCACTGGCAAGTTACAGTGAGTACTATAAAGTTAATAATAAGAAAGCATTTGCATATGTTTTCAGTATACGATAGTTTTTTAGCAAATATTGTAATTTTGAGCTTCCAATATGATAATTTCATATTTAAAACTGGCAATGCCAGGCAGAAGGCAAGTGGAAGGGATGCAGAGGGGAGCTATTGGGTATTATAACACCTAATAGCTAGGCAACCTGCAAGGAGAGAGGAAGCAGGTAACCCTTCTCCCCAGGCACTGAGCCAGTGGCTGGAATGAGCTGGTAAGGCGTGGTCCTGGGTTCTGGGTGCAGCTTGCCTCTCCCCTCCCCTCTGCGCTACTGCAGCTGGCCCTGGGAAGCTGCACGCTGGTGGCTGCAGCCCCTCACTAGTCTCTGGCTCAGCAGCCATTGAGCAATGGTCTCAATGGCTGCTGCGCCCCAGGGCTTCCTGGGCTGCTTTGGCCCCTAGTGATGCTTGCATTGAACCCTGGGGATCAGATGGGAGGACCACCAGACCAGTGTGAGCGTCTTCCATGAAGCTGCATCCATCAGCATCAAAGTCTTGCTCTTGAGAAATCAACTCCGATGGATGGGCCACTGCATCTGGATGTCCAATACTGCCTCCTTCACCAGATTCTCTTCTCCCAGCTCTCTTGGCCAACGCTCAAAGGGCGGCCAAAGGAAACTGTACAAAGACGCACTCAAGGTCACCCTCAAGCACAAAGGCATTGGAACCAACGGCTGGGAGGAGCAAGCTGCCAACCATTTGGCGTGGCGCTTTCTGATCCGCCAAGTTGCTCACCACTTCAGGGCCCAACAACTCAATACCGGAATAGTGGCGGCAGAGGAAGGAGAAGAAGATCGACCCGGGGCTGTGAATCCCACTCCCCTGCACAACAACATGCCCCCATTGCTGACGAATGTTTGCATCCAAAATTGGATAACTCAGTCACCTGAGGACCCATCAAGCCTGACGGACATCATCCTTGACTTCAAGGGACCACGGTCGATACTGGCTGCCTCTCCTCTCCCCCCTGCGCTGCTGCAGCTGGCCCTGGGAAGCTGTATGCTGGTGGCTACAGCCCCTCACTGGCAGCTGCGCCCAAGGGCTTCCTAGGCTGCTTTGGCCCCCAGCTCTCTGCGCTGCTCACACCAGGGTAGGCCAGGGCAGGGCAGGGCAGGTACCAGCCTGACACTCAGCGCCCTACTCCTCTCGTTCCCCCCTTCCCAACTTCACAGAGCCACGGACTGCAGCCCAGCGCTACTATGCCCATCCCCAATTAATTATTTAACGTGTTGTAATTACAGCAGGTTAAACGGATGTTTATTTAATTGATATTTACATGCCTAGCAGATGGCAGGGTGCAAGGTCAGGGCTGCCTGGGCTGAGGGCCCAGTTCTTCACTTACCCAAAACATTTTGGGACTAGTTTTGTTCAGTATCTTCATCAGTGATCTGGGAGATGGGATGGAGTGCACCCTCAGCAAGTTTGTAAATCACTCCAAGCTGGGGGGAGGAATAGATATGCTGGAGGCTAGAGCTAGGGTTCAGAGTGACCTAGACACATTGGAGGATTGGGCCAAAAGAAATCAAATGAGGTTCAATATGGACAAGTGTAAAGTCTTACACTTGGAACAGAACAATCCCATGCACTGGGATGGGCTGGGGACCGATTAGCTAAGCGGCAGCTCTGCAGTAAAGGCCCTGGGGGTTACAGTGGACAATAAACTGAGTATGAACCAACAGTGTGCCCTTGTTGTGAAGCAGACTAACAGCATACTGGGCTGCAACTGTAGGTGCGTTGCTAGCAGATCAAAGGAATTGTGCCTCTGTTTGGCACTGGTAAGACCATATCTAGAGTACTGGGTCTAGTTTTCGGCCTCTCACTACAGAAGGGATGTGGGCAACAAAAATGGTGAGGGGGTTGGGAGACATGACTTATGAGGAAAGACTGAGGAAACTGGGTTAATTTAGTCTGGAGAAGAGAAGACTGAGGTGGAATTTAAGTATTTTTACCTGTCTGAAGGGTGGTTTCAAAGAGGATGAAGCAGGACCAGGTGTCAGCAGTGTTTTTGGGCTAAGTGCCCAAAAAATCCAGAACCTTGATTTGGAAGATGTTGGTGTGCCATGGGGTGGATGGCAGAACGGCTATAAGGCGCCCAATCCTCTTAGCAGCACAGCCCTGGCCCCTTCCCCCTCCATACTCCCTGATGCATGCATATAGCTGCTGCCTGCAACAGGCCAGGTTGGGGCTCCAGACCCTAGTGCAGCCACTTGCAGCCTTATGGCTGCATGCTGCAAGCAGCCTGGGCTCCTTGGCAGGTGCCTGCTCAGAGCTTGAGTTGGCTGTGGTATGCTGAGCAAAATGGCTTCATGTGCCATGCTCTGGTATGCACGCTCTGATTGTTGACCCCTGAGTAGACTGTTCTCAGTAGTGGCAGATGACAGAACAGAGAGCAATGGTCTCAAGTTGCAGCATGGGAAGTTGAGGTTAGATATAAAACTTTCTTATGAGGAGGGTAATAAAGCACCGGAACAGGCAACCTAGAGAGGTTGTGGAATCTCCGTCCTTGGAGGTTTTTAAGACCTGGCTAGATAAAGGCTTGGCCAACATGATCTAGTTGGGGGTGGTCCTGCTTTGAGCAGGGGGTTAAATTAGATGACCTTCTGAGGGCCCCTTCCAACCCAAATTTCCTATGATTCTTTGAAGAAAAAAAAGGCACACTGGCTGATTATTTTTCTTGTATGAGATCTTTCTTCTGGTACAAACATATGTAAAGTGTTTTAATTTCCTTTGTATTCACGTATAGTCTGTTATCCTAAAGCTTGTTTTCATTCACAGTATGTCCCAGTCAAGGGAGATCCTATAATAGGCATAGTGACTGCCAAGGCAGGCGACATCTTCAAGGTAGATGTTGGTGGAAGTGAGCAAGCATCTTTGTCATACTTAGCATTTGAGGGTGCAACCAAAAGAAACAGGCCAAATGTTCAGGTAAGTTTTCTGTTGTTGATAGTAATGAAAATTTTAATTGTTTGCTTGTTTGGGGATTTGTTTTTTTTTAAGTGATGTGTTTCTAAATAGCTGTGGATTTTCTTTCCATTTATTGCCACTGGATCCCACTGTAATTAGAGCTGAATGTTATCATTTACACTGACACTGATACAGCTTCATGATATCTCAGGCCTGTTCCTTAAATGGAGTCTGACGTCAGTTCAGGCCTATATTTACATATTGAAAAACAGCCTCTTACAAAGTCAGGCAGTAGAAAAGTTTCCTTTTTAAGTTTTCAGGAGTAATAGTGTCTTTTAAGAGGTTTTATGGGGGGGATTGTAATGTATATGCTACATTTTGTTTACATACCTGACCTATCTGTTAAGTAAATACAACAGGTAGTAGAAGCAAAATGAAAGACCAGACTATTTTCACTGTCTATAATGAATGAAATGCAAAAGTAAATTGTCATTCTGAAAAGTCAATTATCCTACTTTTTCCTTGCCTCTTAACTTTCAGCTTGGAAGATTTCAAGGCTTTAAAAAAAAAAATACAGGCTGCTTGCAGATTTAAAAAAAAAAAAAAAAGGCAGTTTACCGCAAGCAGCAGCATGTTACTTTGACCTGCCTCTGCAGCGTCTCTATAGATCAGATGCTTAAGTGGAACTTTTGGCGCTTTCATTTAATAGCTGATTTAATCAGCTATTAGATAAAAGCACCAAAAAGCCCCACTTAAAGTGCCCTATCTATACAGACATTTGGTGAGCCAGATCCAGCTAACAGGATGCTTCTTCTGGGCATGCATACACTGGGCTCAGTGTGGGGGTACACTGAATTTAAAGTAAGGTGCCATTTTGTTTTGTTTTTTCCTATGACTGCAAGTAGCCACAGTGTATTAAACTTGAGGTGTGTGGTGCCTTAAAGGAAAAAGTTACTGGACTCCCCTTACTTCGTATTTTTCAAATTCCAATGCCTGGTTTTTAATTATTTGGATCTTAGTCTGTAATTAATTTATATAGAATTACTAGGCACATTATGATTATAGGATTCTTTGGAGATAGCTGCACTGAACGAAGGGATAAATGTTGATGAATACATTAGTTACACAGTTTTCTTTTACTCTTTCATAATTACTGGATTTTTCTGTCTCAAAGACATTAACATAAATGTGATAACAGTTTCTCTATTATCTTTCACTTATTTTAGGTGGGAGATCTTGTATACGGTCAGTTCATTGTAGCAAATAAAGATATGGAACCAGAAATGGTCTGCATAGATAGCAGTGGAAGAGCAAATGGAATGGGTATAATTGGACATGAAGGCCTACTATTCAAAGTCTCCTTAGGGCTAATAAGAAAGTAAGTGTTCCAAGAATGACAGAAAAACTGTACTTTGTCAGTTTTTAACCTATGACAGTTGAGCAAACTTTTATAAAAGCTGTTTTTCACCCTAATATATAACATTACTAAGCACAATTTCATTATTTACTGGTCTTGCATTTACTTTTAATGTTTTAACTCTTGACTTTCCTGGTTTATAATATACCTATTTTAAGTTTTCATTCCTAAGTTAACAGATGAAGTAAATATTTTATCCAGAATAAAAGTTAAATCTCTAGTTCTGGTTCAGCTCAATTCAGCATTAAACCTTACAGTTGGTACAGAGGTCCTTTAAAATAGTGTTGCAATTATTAGTGGGTATGGTATTGATTTAATGCTAGGGTATATTAATACTGTATATTGCTGGGGGGTTTTTTCTTTTTCTTCTAATGTCCTTTTTTACCTTGCTTGCAGACTTTTAGCTCCTAATTGTGAAATCATCCAGGAATTGGGACAACTTTACCCTTTTGAAATAGTGCTTGGAATGAATGGAAGGATATGGGTAAAGGCAAAAACAGTTCAACAGACTTTAATTGTGGCAAATATCTTGGAAGCCTGTGAACATATGACATCAGAACAAAGAAAGCAAGCACTTGCCAAATTGTCAGAGAGTTGAAATAAAGAAACCTCAGGGGTCTGTTTTAGACTGAGACGGTTGTATTTTTGTATTAAGGTCTATATTCAATAACAAGTTTTTAAAATTTTATTCTTTTCACTTTCTTTTGTCAATTGGTCCCTCTTTTTCCCAATGCTTAAATCTGTTACTAATATACTTATGATTTTTCTCATGTTTCTCAGTAGCCTTGTTAAGCTCCTCTTTAAATCATTGCAATGGTTTTTACTTCCTATCAACCCGTTTATTTTTGCAAATCAAAACTGAGTGGTAGCACCAGGTCTTTCGTCAAGAAAGAAAGGAGGGCTCCATTTTTCACTTGCACATGTTTTGGCTTTTAAATTATTTTTTACAATAATATATGTGTGCCTTTGCTTGTTTTTCAAGTTGGTCTGTAGTTTATATTTTACATTAACTTTCAAGAAGTCTGCTTTTTCTGTGTTTCATAACAAAGGATCAAGATGACCTCAATCAAATACTAAAGCAGTGTAGAGGAGGGATAAGGATGGAAGTTCATGTCACTGAAATAAGCAAAAGTGAGGCACCGGAAATGACCTAGTAAATTGAAACTGCTTGTGTCAGAATTATAAGTTCAGACATTTGAAAGAATGTTATACACCACTTTTATGTACTAAATTTGCTTGCCATCAAATGGGAGACTTGCTTGTTACCTGAGAAAACACTCAATGATATTATTTCACTTCAGTTTCACCTACTTCCTTCTCACTAATAGTGGGGGTGGATTAAGACTAAAAGGAATGTAGGGTATATCAGCACTTCAGGCCCTTACTTATTCTTCAACAGTTGACAACTCCTAGAAATTTGGATTAGCTAAAGCTCACTCAAATCACCATGATTGGTGCTCCTACATGCTAGCATTCTGGTTTGAGGCCTTAGTCATCTCTGTCCTAAGGCAATGTGTGCAGCAGCATGCTGTATAGAAATCATGCTGTATTCATAACTTCCTGTCTGATTCCAAAAGATAGGAATGTGTTTTCAAAATTGCTTAAAGCCCCATTATGAAGAGCTTAACTACTTTTCCAAGTTGAAAGATAACACCTGCAGCTTTTCTTCTCTATGAAAAGAGAATCTCATTGGCTTCTTTCCATGCTCTTGTTTGGAGAGGGATGGTGTTTGAGCAATTTCTCTTCCTGACAGAGAAGGTTCTTGTTAACCTGCCTCATAGGTGGAATTGATTCTAGAACTGATAGATTTGCAGGCTGAGTTTTGCAATTCTTTGGTTCTTTCACCTTGATCTTGGGAGGAAATGTGCTGAGTGTAAAGGCATTAACTGTTTCTGTGCTGCAGGAAACAGACTTCCATCTTCCTATTTTTGGAAATCCTTTTCCAAAAACCTAGGTCTAGGTTCTTTCTCACTGCCAGCATGTGCTGTTACCTGCTTGTTTCCTGATTTCTTGATAGAAAATATAATTTCATTTTTATCAGAGGACTTAATACAAAGTAGAATGTGTAATAGAATGACCTGTCAAGAAATGAAAATATCCAACAGCAGAAATAGCAAGAGGTCTTGTCACTCTACACATTAATTGGGAGTTTTCAAAAACATTTGATGTTGTCTACAACAAAATTTACTGGATGAGCTACACATTATAGAATCATAGGGAAGTAGGGCTGGAGGGCACCTCAAGCGGTCATCGTATTCCGTCACCCTGCCTGAAGCAGGATCATCTCTAACCAGACTATCCTAGACAAATCCATTGTCTAACCTCTTACCAACGCTACTGTAAGCAGTTGGTGGTGTGCCTCCTGGAATAGAGCTGTTTCCCTGCTGGAATTGTAGTATTCTGTCCTTCCAAAAATCACCTGCCATATCTTGGTGTTAATGAGAGGGAGGTTCCAAACACTTTTGGGGAGATAAAAGGATAGATTAAAGGCTCAGGAGGTCTGCTTATCTTCGCAGGGCTCCACTGTCCCCATCCCCTTCCCTAACCACACCAGATGTTCCCGGCTTC